GATTGTTTTTTTTACTTGTTTTATTCTTCTTTGTGTTTGAATTGATACTCTTGTATTGCCATGTTAAATGCTAAATGTCACACACTTCTTTTGTTAACTTCTACTTTATTTCGAATTCATTTGTTAAAATTCTTGCGCAAGTTTGATGAAAAAAAAAAGAGTCCTATCCTGACCTCTTACATGAATAAATTTTAGATAGCAGAATGCCATCTAGTGGTATAAATATCAACTAAACGTTGAGTTGGGTTTGTTACCATAATATTTTGAGGTAGCCAACCCATTATATATACATTACTATTAAGAAAAATTCACAATAAATAATTCTATTGACGTTATGTGGCGCTGAGTTTGTTGTTGACACATTAATATGCGAAAAAATAGTACAAATGTGATATTTTACTGGGATAAGGTGCATAAATTATGAAAAAGGCATCTTCTTATCGTGAAACTGAAAGTTGCTGATGGCTTGCGCCATCCATCGGAATAAATATCAACTGTTCTCATTGATTTTTAATTATTCCAGAATTGGTCAAATACCCATTCTTGATTAATCAAGAAAAGCTAACCACGGATGCGTTTCGGGCTGTTGGCCCTCTTCGCGGTCTCACGCAATTCTGGCCTTAACTACCCGTTTCAAGATTTTTCAGGATGCCTGAATGGCCAGTTTTTTGGTCGTTGAGGTACAGCTTGCACCACGCTGATGAGGGCCAACAGCCCGAAACGCGGCCGTGGTTAGCTTTTCTTGATTAATCAAGAATGGGTATTTGGCCAATTCTGGAATAATTAAAAAATCAACGAGAATAGTTGATATTTATTCCGATAGATGGCTCAAGCCATCAGAAACTTTCAGTTGCACGATAAGGAGATGCCTTTTTCATAACACATTAATATGTTATAATACCTTGATAAAAGTTGGCGTTCAGCCAACTGAAATTTTGGTAAAATAAATGATATTTTGATCCAATATATGTCTTTAGAATTAAAAACAAACAAATTATTCATAACATATATATATTTTATTATTATTATTCCACGGCGAGGTCTACCCATCTCTCCAAATGTAGAAGCTCCCGTTACATTCTGGATGCGGGGAAGGAGGTAACGGCACTCTGGAGAATCACGTGACTGCTAATGGCCAATAAATATGCAAATTTTATTAGCCTACCTTTTATTCCCACAAGGACAGGTGAGGAGATATATTGAACTGGGTGTCTGAAGCTCTGAGCTAGATAGAACTCTTGGTAACATTAAACCTCGGATTTATACAGCAAATACTTGATGCTGAAAGTCGCGTTGAGATTTTTTTTTTTATTAAAAAAAAAAAAGATTGTTTCAATGGTTCTTTATCCTTATAGAAGTTCAACTAACCCATCAGTTAGATACAAGTAACCAAGCAGGGCTCTGGCACATTTGTAAGTAAAAATATCGAACTGCTTTCAACGTGTGTAGATATGAATAAATTAGCACAAAGCAATAACGCGCCATCTATACATATAAAATAAAAGTATTCAAAAGCGCGAATGTTTTTTTTATACATAATACAAACTTCTACTGTCCTTACTGCGATGAAAAATATATTGGGAGGGCTTGGCTCATCAGTGGTGAACCCTCCCAGCGGTTTCGCCAATTTAATCCACCAGACCGCTTCTCAGAGCTCTAATACTGTATTGGATCTTTCTGCTTTTAAATGCTACACTGAAGGATGGAATCTTAGAAATGGTTTTCAAGTAAACTATGGACATAAGCTTACAGGACAGTAGAATTACATTCAAATATTTGCTTCGAGCAATGCTGTCCTATAATCTTATGTCCATAGTTTACTTGAAAACCATTTCGAAGATTCCATCCTTCAGTGTAGCATATAAAAGCAGAATGATCCAATACAGTATTAGAGCTCTGAGAAGCGGTCTGGTGGATTAAATTGGCGAAACCGCTGGGAGGGTTCACCACTGATGAGCCAAGCCCTCCCAATATATGTTTTCATCGCAGTAAGGACAGTAGAAGTTCGTTTTATGTATAAAAGAAACATTCGCGCTTTTAAATCCTTTTATTTTATATGTGTGTAGATATGTAGTGCACTTACAGTAAAATCAGTCGCTAACTCCCCACCACAATTATCAGGGCCTGTACCATATGTAGACATGTGGTGTACTTACAGTAAAATGAGTAAGGACAGTAGAAAATTGTAAAATATTCAAAAGAATGATACGTGCCTATAATAGTTTCGAATATTCATAACAGATGGCGTGCAAATGTATCATAATACTGAACATTACTTATTGAATTCCGGATCAAACGAGATTCATATCTTCAAGAGCGCTAACCAGTATCTCTCCCAAAATCCAATATACACTCATGGACAAAACTTTAAAAAGTAGTGGAATGTCTTTGATATCACACCGGTCGTCTTTTTTGAAGGAGATAAAAGTTGCTCACACTTGGTTATCTCGTGTGTCCTAAATAAAGTGTACTGTGTATCAAATATTCTTCAGAGTTATTGTCTGAATC